ACTGGAATGCCATCACCTCCACTGGCCTTGTTGTTAGCCAGGCTTTCTAAGGCCCACTTGACTTCACTCTCCAGGATGTCTGGCTCAAGGTCAGCAACTACACTATCTGGGTTGTCTGGGATATCCAGATCTTTCTGGTATAATTCCTCTGTGTATTCTTGCCACCTCTTGTTGATATCTTCTGCTTCTGTTAGGTCCCTCCTATTTTTGTCCTTTATGATGCACAAAATGTTTCTTTAATATCTCCAATTTTCTTGAACAGATCTCTGGTTTTTCCTTTTCTATTATTTTCCTCTATTTCTTTGCATTGTTCATTTAAGAAGGCCCTCTTGTCTCTCCTTGCTATTCTTTGGAAGTCTGCATTCAATTTTCTGTAACTTTCCCTATCTCCCTTGCATTTTGTTTCCCTTATCTTCTCTGCGATTTGTAAGGCCTTGTTAATCATCTTAACCATTCTTTTTTTTTTTAAATCCCATCTTGTCTTACCTCTCCATTTTATCCATCTAACTCAGGATGGTAAACTAACAACACAGGATTTATGCTATCTATGCTGTTGATGCTAAATAAATTACTCAGCCACAGTCACACTGTTAACAGTCACACTGTTATATGATTATTTCTGAAGATCACATTGCACAGCAAACTGCAAGGAGTCTGTACTTGTCAAGATACCTTGACAAACTGTACATCACAAAGGATGTGGACGGAGTAATCAGGCGTGTAGATGTTGTTGCTGCTACCACTGTGAAGCTGGGTACTGCTTCCTCCATAGTCGTTGCGTTCTCGAATGGGTGACTCAGAGCGGTTTAATCCACTGCAACGAGATGGTGACTGGTTCACTAGAGAAAAAGATAAAGCAGTGGGGGGAAAATGATTATTTCTGATGCAGTGAAAATACTGTTCCCAAAGTACAGGGTCTGTAAAATACGTCAAAGCACTGCTTAGATCACTCCTGCAACACATCTCCTCAAAGGTTAAGTCCCAATGGGTTTGCATTACATAAGGCTACTCGGCTTACATTACAGCCCAACATTTCTGAAGTTAGCCATTTTAACTTGTCTTCAATACCCTAACAAAACATATCAGAGTGGCCCTAAGGGGCAATACCGAAATTCGCTAAAAGAAAAAATGTTGAGCACCTGCTGCCAACAGAACTAAATGGAGAGGGTGGCAACGAGCAAGAACACACTAAACAATGTGGCTAGAGGCAGCAACCTACTAACTAAAGAACTGCATACTGCTTTAAAACAACATCTGTTCTCAAACATGCACAAATACACAGTATACTTTTCAAGCTGATTTGTAGAAGGATTTTGCAGAAAGGGTATTAGCAACAGGAAAATTTGGAGGATTATTCACATGACATAGATTCAGGTCACCACTGTAATTCTGCCTCCTGCAGAAATAAGCTATCAAAGGCAAGACTGAAACAGAATTAGGAGAAATTGTCTCTTACTTGAAATAATTCTTAATAAACAACAAATTGAAAGGGTTTTTTTTAAGAACAGTAACTGACAGCATGGAAATGTGTAGCTTTGTATTTACTGATGGCTTCTACAGATAGCAGGAACAGAAGCCTTCACAGATCTGAGTAGTAGGTTTGTTCACATGAGCACAGCTTGAGAACAAGTAGCACCATGTTGGTCTGTTTAATTCTTTCTCCTGGTAGAAATGCATGTCTTCAATAGATGTTCTGGGGCACCACTATCATCAAAGAGGAACAATGAAAGGTTGCAGCTTATCCCCAACTCTTCAGAGAAGTGCTTCTGCTTGGGGCTACAGCTACCCTGTAACAAGCTGCTTATAGCAGTGCTGTTCTGAGCTTGAGGATCAGAATTTACAGAAGGGAGTAAAAATAGTTTTTCACTTTTCCAATGTTCAAACACCCCCACCCCACTTCCCCCATGTTATCTAGCAGGAACAGACAGAGAATGGAGTTGAATCTGTTTATCTATCTTGGAGCGCCTGGCAGTAGAGCTGCTGAGTCCAAAATGGTTAAACAGCAACAACAAAATCCTGCTCATCTTCATTGTTGTCTTCTTCCTTTATTGCTGCTGCTGCTTTAGATTCCTTTAAGAAAGCTTGGAGGAAGACCAGGAATGAATCTTTGTGTGGGAAGTGCTGTGAGTGTAGATCTGCCACTGGAAAACAGTGTTTTGTTTTGTTTATTTTTTTGCTAAATATGTGCTTAGAGGCACATTGGTTCTTTTTTCTAAACATGCAGAAGCTCAATTTTCCCGTTCCAGCCACTATTTTGCTTTTTTAAAAAAAGACAGATTTTGCAGCACTTTGAAGAAGGAGCCTGATCATTTCTTTTGGGGACAGTGCCATGATTATGCAGCTTACGGTATAAGCTCTAATGAAGCTTACATTTTCATGCTTAGAAAATGTTACCCAGAGTTACCCTGTCCCATCTCCATTCCTATATTCTTGGGACACACTTACCCGTATTTTTCGCTCCATAAGATGCACCTCTCCATAAGACGCACCAAATTTTTAGGCGAAGAAAACAGAAAAAAAATAATCTGGGAATTTTGTTCCATAAGACGCATACACTTTTCCCCCAATGATTTTTGGAAAAAAACTGCGTCTTATGGTGCGAAAAATACGGTATCTTTCTTCCTGACTATTCCTGGGGATCTAAATCTTACTTCCATGCTAAGCCCCGTCTGGAAAAGGCCTGAGATAAAAGAGTAATAACCACCTTAAACTGAAATGCCTCCACTCTCATCATCCTTCAATAACTTTTGCTTCTCTTTGTGCTTTTTTGAGCATTTCTATTCCAAGAGCAAAAGTTATTCCACTGGATGCAGTAACTTTTCTTATGCAGGCCTTTTTCAAAAACTGCATTTCCCTCTTAACTCTTATCTCCTTGTTAACTCTTCCCTGCCTATCCAAAAGGCATAATATTTTAATTGCTAGATGTACAGTGGTGCCTCGTTTAACGAGCGCCCCGTTTAACGATGGATCCGTATAGCGATGGCTTTTTTGCCATCGCTTTTCGGATCACATTACGATTTTGCCATAGGCATCATTTTCCCACAGCTGACTGGCGGGAGCCTTCGAAGGACCACTCCCGCCAAATGTATTTCCATATTCCTCCTGCCTTTTCCCCAGGCTTCTCTCTTGACCAGTTTCTATCAAGTAGGAAATTTCCTCTGCAGTAAGCTACCACGGATGATGCTGAGAATACAGTACACTACTAATATAAAAGTGAAAAAAAAATCATGCACAGCTGGAACTGTGTGCTCACAATCCATCAGTCAGGGAGATGTGCCTCTGGACAAAGAAAGGCTTATTTCTCCCTTTTGATATCCACGAGAACACATGGAGTGCATTTATGTATAGGCACACATTGGTACCACGAATACGTTTCCATATACTTGATTGCAAGCTCTTACCTGTGCATGGCACAGTGTAAGAAAGCAACAGACTCTGGAGCATTATGTACAGACCTGAATACAAAATATTACTTAGCACAGGCAAACAGATGCAGTTGCGCAGAAGCACCACATGTACAATATGCATAGTGCTATTCTGCATGCAAGACAGTGTTACATGCACAGTGCTGTGATTGGGATAGGAGGAAGAATTCAGAGAAGCACAGACCCAGAACCATAAGGCAGCAGAATGGGAACCTTGCTGGGTGCCACATACACAGTTACCTGGGGAGCCAGCCAAAGATTCCCCTCTGGTGAAGGCAAAGGAACGGGAGACGGACACTGGCACTAGAGAAAGGACCAGGATCAGAAGATAAAAGTCAGGGTAAATGGAGGAGGGAGAGAGGTAACTGGTTTTAGAAGAAACAGAGAATGAAACAGAGCTGACAGGCAAGAGTTAAAGTTAGGGGCTTCATGATGCCTCCAACAACCTGCCCTTAAGAAGCTGCAATGTAAATGGCAAAGGGTTTGTCAGTAAAGAAAAGCCGTCTTGCCTACAGTAGTATAAGAAACAAATAAAAGGATAAATCAGACATAGGCTGTCACATATGGGAAAGCAAAAAACCTTTCCCAAACTTCCTTAGTTTTGTAAGATTATCTTTATGGAAGGTGGGGAGTAGGAGAAAATGTAAATAGACTGTAGCTCTTGAGAACAGCTTTCCATCCACATCCCACCCATATCATGCACCACACATCTTACTTCACAACAATACATATGAAGGCATGAAAAGCAAAAAAAAGTGGATTTAATAAATACTGCCTGAGCATTTATAGATGCAACTCCATACATACCATTGGATGGCAACAAGAAAACACATGATGGAAAATAGACTGCTGAGGAGCTGGGTTACCTCAGGGCATTTGCAAGACATTATAAATTCAAATGTATAAGAGTCATACATGTTAATTCTGTAGACTCTCCCTATTTGCATTTGAACAGTGAAGGGAGGGCATTCAGCATGTAAAATGGAGTATACATTAAGTAAGATGCTTGATATTCCAAGCACAAAAAATATCCGTATGATACATGTATGGAGACAAAATCTGAGGTTGATCAATGCCTTTATGGAACCACCAAAGTATTACAAACAAGATAAACTTTCAAGTTCTCCAGAAGTTTTCATCAGGCAGAGATGGTATAAAAGTTGGGGTTTATACAAATGATTCAAAAGTCCCCCTATTTTGTTAATGCAACCACTTGAGACCCTGCTTCACATTCTTTTGTTCCAAGCCTATAAAAAGAGACAGTATGGCTTCATCAAAGGCAACTGGCATATTCGGGGAGGGGCAACTTTTTTTCTACAGAGCAGGGGCAGAGTGTATATTGCCACCTCCGATTCAAATTTAATTCAAATTCCACTTTTCTTTACTGGCAGTCTAGTTTCATGTGTCATGGGTATTACATCTGGCCAATATTTGAACTATTTGCCTCGATTCCAGGTTTAATATCATCTTTGCCTGAAAAAGAGTTATGGATAAATCAAAAGTTTCTCTTATTTCTTTTAACTGATCCAGTACAGATACTGCTCTACACTTGACTCACTTGATACCGTTATTGTTCATACCAACATATACAGAACCAACTCAACATTTTACAGATCTTGCACAAGAGAAATGAAGACACAGATGGAAGAGGCTACATGCTCTTTGCTTTCTGAGAACTGGCTATAGAGGCACAGAAAGGAAATGGGGAGTGCGTAGAAGAGCAAACTAAAACTAGGAATGATGGCAATAGCAAATTGCCACAACAAAAGGACAGCCACAACACCATCACCCCATTAGACCCAGAGAAAGAAATTATGGCTGGGGTGAGCTAATGAGTTGTAGCTGTGGCTCTTTGCCTGGTCCATCAGCAAGAAGCAGCAACAGAAGCCACCCACAGAAGTTGTAACAGGTTCCGGTAGGTGTCAAGTCTGCTTAATCATGGGAGATGCTCAAGAACATTTGTAACTGCTGCTGTGTAAGTAAGATAGAAATATTCATTCTGTAAGTCTCTTGTACCTACACTGGTTTCTTCATTCCTTGCCATCACCTGTACTGGTTTCAAACTATGACCTACTCTAAGGAGGGTAAGAGAACATTAAAAATCAGGGCCTCAGAATGGAGACAGTCAAGCCAGGTCTCCTGTGTGTAAACTCAACTTCTGTTGGTAAGTTGTCAAACCCCATCAAAAGTGACAAGCTGACAAATATCTGCCTGTCACTCAAAAGGGTAAACAAAGATTTTAAAAGCACTGCTGTAAAGCAGCTATGTCAAAGAAGAATATGATAATGACAAAAGCTAACTAAACACCTCCCAAACTGGAGAGCTGAATATGGCATTGCAACATCCAAGTGGCACAGCTGGAGCGCACAAAAAACTTCTCTTATATGATGCAAGTAAAGTATGGGCAAAGTCAGCAGAAAGCCCACCCCTTTATTCACCAATATCTGCCTGATCAGAGCCAGCAGAAGTTACTTTTTTGGGATCATAACTCCCAGAATCTCCTTACTTTGCTGCCTGAAGGATTCTTGGAATCACAATCTGAAAGAGCATTTCTTTCACTCCAAGCTCTAGGAAAGCCTAGCCTGAAATTGACCTCTGAGTCCCTATATCATTAATGAACAGAACTGTCAGGAAGAAGATACATACACAGGAAAGATGACCCAGCCAGGCTGCTCATTTTGCGAACGTCGTTATCTGAAAATACAGGGGCAGATGGAAGGTGAGTCCCAGTCAGTGCTTTGTTGTGTCACCCCTATCCTGTGCAGGGAGGAAACACTTTCTCAAGGGTAGGAAGAGGTATGGGGAGGGACATTATACAAACTGTAGCATGCCCGGATTGGCCTCAGATTAACTGGAAACCACTCTCTTCCCCCAGCACAGAGAGTTTTACTCCTCAGAAACTCTGCCTGGTGCTTAAAAGACAAGAAAGTGGCCTTTCATAGCTATCTTTTATCCCAGCTTGTGACTTTTCATAACTATTTCCCATGCCATACTTCCAGGCTTCTATGGAGAAGGATTTTGTGTAACTTCATACAGAAATTGTGGGGTGTGACAAGGAGAAGGGTTTCTTACACTCTGTCCTAAAAAGGAAATGCCATGTATTCAGTTATACAAGGACTCTTCCACAACAATAGAGCCTCAAGTATCCTAAGCCCACCAACTTCCACCAAGCCAGCTTCAGCATGTCCTCTGGCAACCACAACAAAATGCTATGTCCCCATATAGGTACAGCACAGAACTAAAATGTGACACAGACTCTGATTTCATTAACAACCTGAAGCCAAACAATTTTCCTTAAAAAGATGTTTGGCGTTACAACTGTAGAACAGCTTTTGGTAGAACACGAACAGTGTTTTCCGAAGATCAAGGCCACAGCATGAAAAAAATTATCAGAGCTTCCAGAATCCCTCTTTGCATGGCCACTAGGGGATTCTGGAAACTGCAGATCAATAATGTAATTTTTCAAGCTCTGGTCAGGATAGGGACAGATTAGTCACCCAACAGGGCTTCTTCTGTGTTTAGTCTGGTAATCAATGCTTCCTTGTGACTTCATTCACCACAAATGCTGGCATCACCAACACAGTTTTTGATTGCTCTTTATTATGCCCAATGTGGTAATACATTCAATTTGGAAAACTCTGAAAAATAATAATCAGAATATTTTTTGCAAATTTTTGTAAGCAATACAAGTTGTCTCTTAAATTCTGAATAATCTGTTACCTAGGTTCTCATGGGACCAGCCCTACCCTTGAGGCTTCTTCCCTCAACTTGTTGTGTCTGCCCCTGGACTTTTTTTTTACCTGAGCAGGTAACAGTCATGATGGCTGGGACACCATAATATGTGAAGGCTCCATTTTCGAAACGTAGGCCTTCTTTCCCTACTTCCACTTCCACTTTTCCCTGCAGAAGCAACAAAAACAAAGGAAATGGAACTCAGCAATGCCAGCAATTCTTGTTCAGAGATGGAAAGTTTTGGGGGATTATACAGTATATTTTTTAACTACAACTTCCAGAATCCTACAACTAATGGCCATGCTGGCTGTGGGATTCTTGTGTTTGTCATCAAAAATGCAAGCACTTTTCATATCTGCTCCTGTTTCTACAAGAGTAAAGCTTAATAGAATCACTCTGGGCAAGAGCAAGGCCTATTCACTCACTAGGCACTTCTAGATTTTCTTTCAGAAAAGCCACCTTGATCAGGCAGAGAAATATATTAGGTCATGTCTGATGGCTGGATGTCAGAAACCAAACTCAATCTAACTCAATGTTTTACTACATTTTCCTAGTGTATACTCTCTATTTTTCCCCTTCTTTCTTATTTCTTCATCTACCTTCTTGACATGGAGAGGAGAGCCTGCCCCCCCTCAGCAAGGGCTTGAGGGCAAGGGTCCCCCTTGCCCTCAAGGAGACACTCATTAGGCCCATTAGGAAGAAACCAAATTTGGCGATGGACGACATTGGAAATTATAGGCCTGTTGCCAATGTTTCTTTCCTTAGCAAAGTGGTTGAAAGGGTGGTGGTAGATCAGCTTCAGGCGCTTCTGGACGAAACCAACGCTCTGGACCCATTCCAGTTGGGCTTCAGGTGGCGCTATGGTACAGAGACCGCACTGGTCGCACTGTTGGATGACCTATTGAGAGAGGCCGATGGGGGCAATATGTCCTTATTGGTCCTTCTCGATATCTCAGCCGCGTTTGATACCATCAACCACGGTATCCTCCTGGGGCGGATCGCTGGGTTGGGGATTGGTGGCCTGGTGCTTGCCTGCGGATCGCTGAGTTGGGGATTGGTGGCCTGGTGCTTGCCTGGCTTCATTCCTTCTTGGAGGACTGTCCCCAGAGAGTACAGCTTGGGGAGAGTGTCTCGGCCCCATGGAGCCTTAACTGTGGGGTTCCGCAGGGGTCAATCATCTGTTCAATGCTGTTCAACATCTACATGAGGCCGCTGGGTGGGGTAATCAGGGGGTGTGGGGCATCGTGCCATCAGTACGCTGATGACACATAGCTCTACATCTCCTTTTCACCTACCTCAGTGGATGCCATCCCGTCCCTTCAGCGCTGCCTGTAGACTGTACTGGAAAGGATGCAGTCGAATGGGTTGTGGCTGAACCTGGACAAGACGGAGGTCTTGAGGGTGGGTGGCCCTTCCATTAGCGGCAAAGGTGACTCCCTCTCTTTAGGGGGGAAGACACTTGCCGCAAAGAGTGAGGTCCGCAGCTTGGGGATACATCTGGATCCGGCGCTTACCATGGAAACCCAGGTGGCGTCCGTGGCCCATTCCACCTATTTCCATCTATGGCGGATTTTCCAGCTACGACCATATCTTGATGGGGGGGCCCTCACTACTCTTGTCCACGCGCTTGTAATCTCAAGATTGGACCACTGTAATGCATTCTACGTAGGGCTGCCTTTGAGGTTGACGTGGAAACTTCAGGTGGTCCAGAATGCGGCAGCCAGGCTTCTAAGTGGGGTGAGAAAATACCAGCATATCTCCCCCACTCTGGCGCCTTACACTGGCTGCCCATCCATTTCCGCGTTGACTTCAAGGTGCTTATGATTACTTATAAAGCCCTAAACGGTTTGGGACCTCAATATTTGGCAGATCGTCGTCTTCCACCTAGATCTACCTGAATCACCTGTCATAGCCAGCAGGGACAGCTGAGGGGCCTGACGCCGAGGGAGGCCCGGAAGGAAAAACAAGAAACCGGACCTTCTCGGTGGTGGCCCCTCAGCTGTGGAACATCCTTCCAACCGAAATTCGGCTGGCACCTTCGCTGGGTGTTTTTAAAAGTCAGGTAAAAACTTGGCTATTCAAGCAGGCCTTCCCTCCAGTCAATTAAGAGATTTTCATCTTTATCTCTTTCTTTTTCCTTATGGTATACCATCTTGGTAATGTCTTGGTTATAATCAATTGCTATAATTGTAATTGTAATTTTAAAGATGTTACATATGTTATATTGCTGTGTTTTATTTGTAAGCCACCCCGAGTAGACACTGTTTAGAGGGGTGGGGTAAAAAGCTAATAAATAAACAAACAAACAAACAAACAAACAAACAAAATAAGATGCTTTCTCAAAACCTGCTTTCAAACAACATTAAGAAACTGAAAGGAATTTGATTAATTGTGACTGATAATGAGATTCTTATACACCAGGGGTCTCAAACATGCAGCCCACCAGATGATAGTTTGTGGCCCCCACCTTGCCTGCCCCCCCTGAAGCGCCCACACGTCCTCTGTTGTCAAGAGTTAAAAAAAAGCCTCGCCTTGTTCGCCAGCTCTCTCCCAAGACAGCGCCTGTTGCATCCTCTATCCGGAACTGCAGCCTGCCAGCCGGCCCCGCCTGTCTGCCAGCTGGCAGGCTGCAGTTCCGGATGGAGGGTGCAAGAGGTGCTGTCTTTGGGAAGAGCCGACAAGCGAGGTGTGCTGCCAGCCCTCTTCCCCAAGCACCTGAGCCACCACTGAGTGATGCTGAGAGCGGAGCTCACTCCCAGCCTGTCCTCAAAGAGCGCCTCCAACAGCGCCTCCAACAGCAGCCACAACCATCACTTCTTCCAGGTAAGCAGCTCGCTTTCTCTCTCAGCACTCCCAGCACCAACTCGGCCAGCAGCCGCCTCAGCACCCAGCAGTGTTTCCTCCTCCTCAGAGCCCCAGCCGGGCTAAGGAAACTCCTGGGTGGCTTCCTTGGGCTCTTGCTCCACTTGGCGGAAAATCTGATGCGGCCCAGCCTCACCCAGACTCTGCCTCCAGCGGCCCCCAGGTAAATTGAGTTTGAGACCCCTGTTATACACTGATCTCTTTTAGCCATTTTTAAAATGGGGCATTACTAAACTTGCAATTCACCCACAACAGATAACAGAAACGGAGGGTCAGAAGTGGAATATCAGGATGAGTAGTGTGATTTTCCAGCAGCATATTTATAATGCCATAAGCTTTAGGGTAAAAACAACCAAGAGTCTAACACCACCTCATAGACTATGATGGTTTTACTTGGCATAAGCTTTTATGGATAGCAGTCTACGTGACCAGATACAAGGGGTATTACCTGTTAGCAGATATTTATTCATATACTTGTATGGAGCAGGATGCTGGGAAGCTGAAACACTGAAAGTGCACATATTTGCCATCTTAATGTTACTGTTCTGTGCCATCAAGTCACTTCTGATGTGCTGCAATGCTATGGATTAGTGAACCCCAAGATTCTGCCATTAATAGCCCAGCTTGAGAAGGAAAACTCCGATTTCAAACCTCCATTGCCTTGTGGCTATATCCATTCATGGAAAAGGCTTCAGGAGTTAACCTAGAGGCAAAATCCGGAGCTGGAGTCCCGAAGGCAGTTCTTGTTGTTCTGCCAACTCCTGCGACGTTGCTGGAACCAGTTGTATTGGCTTTTGCCTTTCCATTGGACCATTTCAGCAACGTGGAGAGGGGGGATCTGCTGCTTGGGTAACAGCCTATCCTCCATATTACTTTACCCAGGCTTCATGCTCTGGAGGGGGCACTCCTCAATTCAGAGCATGTTACCATAGTCTTTCGAGACTGAAGGATGCCTATGATGATGATGGGTTTTTCAAACTAATGACCATGACTTCCTTTATTAAGTCAATCTCTTAACAAATATTATCATCTTACTAGTGATCATTAACAACCAGTAAATTGATGAAAATATAGATGAGATAATGTATGTTATGAAATAAACAGTGAGTACTTGTGCTAGAGGAGAAAGGGTTGGTGAACTCTTCAGTTGTTTTTCTTTGATATTCTAAAATTGGGGGGGGGTTGTGGACTATTAATCTGCCAGGGTACACTGTTTCTGGGTTCATCACAAGTATCCCTGAATAAAAGAATGTCAAAGACAGGTTCTCCCACACATCCCTTCTCCCAAGTATGTGAATAAATTTTGGACAATTAAGACAGCACTACACACATCTCATGAAGTGAGTGGCAGTCCACAAAAGCCCAGGCCAAATACAACTTGTTAGTCTGTAAAGGGCTACTGGACACTTTTTGTTGCAATAGATTAACCAATTGGAAATCGGGGACAAAAGAGCCAGAATTCCATATCACATTCTTTTCTCTAGGATGCACCACTCTTTTAAATTGCACGAGAGAAATGATGCTGTAGGTCTGTACAACAAAGGGGCACACACTACACAACCACTACTCCCTTGAGGGTTATACATTTCCATTAGTAATCTTTACAGACCTGAAGAATGAGTACAAAGTAGTCAACTGGCCGATTGCGCTGGTACAGGTAGTGCTCAGGTGCTTGCTTGTTCTTGTGGTCAAATTTCATCTCCTGGATGACATTTGGGTGTTTGAGCAACCGAAGCAGGATCTTGTCTGACAAATATGGGGTCTTGAAAGGCTCCACCTCTGCAACAGTGGAAGCGAGGAAAGGAGAACAATAGGATTTGTTAGAGGGCTGGCTGCCTCCTATTATTTTATTTGAGCCCAAGAGGGCTATCAATAATGATGTAACAGCTCAAGCAGAAGGAAGAACTTCTCTAGGTCAGAGACTATGGTGGGGATGATAGCACACAAGGCAGAATGATGCCATTGAATATATTGACAGCCCTCTTCAGATGAAATGGGTTTTTTAAAGTTTTCACCACTCTACCACATTTCTAAGACAGGAAATAAAGTCTTCACCCTGGAATACAAAACTGGAGTAGAATATCTCCCTTTAAGATGGAAGAACAGGAGCCTACAGTAAAAAAATATTATTTTTTAAGAAAAACACCACACACAAAAAATTGTTATGTGATCTGCCACTGAAAACTGGCAGTACAATTTCCCTGACTTTGCAGTCGCTCTTTTATATTTATTTAAACTGTTTTAAATTGATTGAATGATTAAATGTGATTTAATGCTTTTACCCTCCTAATGGCCTTAACTGATGAAGTCTTCAGTCAGAAGTCTTCTATCAGCTTCCTTGCGTGTTTACTGGAAACTGTTATTTCCTATAACAGGATTCTATGGTTAGAGACCATTTAGGCATCATGGAGCCACAGAGCGGCAATTTCCTAATGCCCAGACAGTCCCTAATCATTGAGTCACACAACAGGAAATAACAATTGCCAGTTGACACAGAAAATTTGGATTGAAGGCATTCTTACTCAGTGAAAACTATAACGATACAGAACCGTTTTAAAGAAAAATAATAATAAAAGCAGTAACCAATGATTATTCACTGAATAAGTTAAAATGTATTTAAATAAATATAAAACAATGCCTGCAAAGCCAGGAAAATGGCTGGGAACTGAATTCATGTTATTTGTTTCTGGGAGGAGGGGTACAACCTACAGGTTGCCAGCTCAAAGGAAAACTAGCCCTCAGCTTGCATCCACCTGTTCAAAATCCTCAAGATATATAAGCATCATGTTTTCTAAAAACACTAGGCAATGCAAAGTCAAAATGTAAAGAGAGAGAAAATGCTTAGGAAGCACAGGATACCTGTAGCCATGAAGCGGTGTGTGGCCAGCAGGAGTTGTGGGGAAATCTTCACCCTCATCTCACTATCCGATAGGCGGAAAATGGAGAAGTCATGAGGTTTCCTACCACGATGGGGAGCCCGCTCCTTCTTCCGGTTGTCAGCTGATTGTCAGGATGGGAAAGATATACTTGTGCTACCACTGCTAATATAAAAATGGCACCATATATTCATCTCTTCTCCCTGCTCTCTGAAACTCAGAGCAAAACTGCAAACTTGTGTTTAGCTTGCCAAAACCATTCGTTGTATATACTGGTGTTACAATTACCTTGTTTTAATAATTCTATTTCCACACTGTTCAGTATTTCATAAGCTCTGTCACTGACCAAAGCCACAAGTGTAAACACTCCTATGTAGCTGAACACACTGGCTGAAATCCTGTTGTGTAACATAAACTATACAAGGCTGATGATATCATCAACCATGGCAATTTTTCAGAAATTCAAAATTTCCTAGCCCCCCTGAAGTTCCCTTTCATTGTAGGGAAGCCACTGAGTGTTACAGGGGAGTCTTTAAGTTAAAACAACAGGAGTAACAGGAGTCTAGCCTTTGAGACTTACTTCTGAGTAAATGTGAGGAGTTTGCCCCTGGTGAGCTGTCTGCTCTTGCTCAACACCTCCTGAGGGGCTCATCAGAGGCAGCACCAGAGGATTTAAAGATGCTGGTTGAATATTAAACAAAAAAACACACACAGTAGAAAGACTCTCGTGAATTCCCTCTTATGTGGATACCTTTGGAAAACTGAAAAGAGGAAGGGCATGCAGAAAGAGTCTGGCATGGGCTTCACAGCTAAGCAAAGGAAGAATGGCAAGTGAAATTGTTAGAAACTAGATGGGATCATATCTCCACCCTTTCCTCTGATATACAGGCAGTACCTTTAGCTTCAGCTGTGGGCATGTGGGAGCAGGGAGAGAGCAGAAGACAGAGCACCAGGCCCCCGAATACTTACTATAAAGGTCTGTCTCATCCAGAATCTCCGATTTGATTATCTCTTCAATCACATCTTCAAGAGTGACAATCCCCATCACCTCATAGAAAGGGTCTCCTTCCCCTTCATTATTCACTCGTTGCACAATTGCCAGGTGTGATTTACCTGCAAGGAGAGAACAAACTGAACAATAGTTCTATTGTGCCACCCACTACACCCAACAAAAGGTAGGAAGTGAAACGCTTGAGAGTTTATTGACTCCACTGGCATGGTTAACATTAAAACTGTCTTGAAATGAATATGTAAAACAAAAACACTCCTCCCCACTCCTGGCAGGGGGAGGTAAGCATATTGGATCTAAGCAATAAGCCATTGATTACACCCTCAATAGTCTTCCTCATGTACAATGAACTCTGCTATGACATTTGGGATTGGTAAGAGCAGAGCTTGGAGAAGTTTCTTTCTTTCTTGACTACAGTTTTATGCCACTGATGTGTAACTGGGATTTGAAGTCTAACAAAGTAATTTTTCCAAGCTCTGGCTAAGAGGTAGTCCATAATAATGGAAGGCAAAAGAAGAAATCCAAGAAAGCATTTATTTTGTAATGGAACAGAACCCTCAGTCATTAGCAGTGCGGTTCTCAGTGAGGAATCTAGCTTCCCTAGTACAGTACTCTCACATACAAAATCAGAAGTATCACACAAGGGCTGGAAATTCAAGGACTCAAAACATGATTGGCCTCTAAGGCCCATGAGAGCACTCTTGAATGCTAGCTGTTAGTATTATATTGGAGCTTGAACCCAAAGTGCTGAGACTTGACTGTATCTCCCCACATGAACCTCTGTGGGTCTTGGTGAAGACCTTTCTCTATATCTAGCCACCTTCACAACCATCTATGGCAAGGACAAAAAAGAGGGCCTTCTTGATGGCTGCTCTCAGGCTGCTGGACTCCCTGACAAGAGAAGCCCCTCTCTGTTCTCCTTTTGCAAGCTAGCAAAGACAGGCTGTCTTTAATAGTGTGTGTTGCACTTTCCCTACTTTTTGTTGCACATTTAAACAGTTTTTAAATTGTTTTAATTCAGTGCTTGTTTCTAATATTATAACTTGTTTAACTGCATTTTAATATTATAATAGCATGTTTTAGCACTATGTTTTAATTCATATTGTGAGCCACACTAGGTCCTTCACTGGGAGAAATGTAGAATACAAATAAAATAAATAAGTAATATATCTGCTACCTTTCCTCTGATTATACCTTCTGAGTTTAGGTGCAGTTCTTGCAATAACAATGAGGGAGTTAGCTGCAACAAGGTTTAGGTTGTGGTAAACTGTAAATTATTCCAGAGGGCCTTTGCACTTAATATGCAACGATGCATGTAATTATTCATTCAACTTATATACTGACCAACAGTGCGATGAACTCTCTTGAAAGTTGACAACCAACATAAATAATATGCAAAAATTAAGAACCATTAACCTTACAAAAACAGATGAGAAGACAAAAACTGCAAAAACTGATTCATTTATATGCATCTATACAGTTGCCTGCATTTCTGAATTCTCTGTGCATAACTATAAGCCTTGTCTTCTGGAGGAGTGCCTGTATTTCACAAATAATTATTTATATCACCACCCACTATACTTCTTGTACTTTAAAGTATTTCTGAAACAATTACTTTGATTTTTATGTAATTTCATATTGTTATTGTGATTACCTTCACAGACGGGTCAGTATCTAAACTTACTTTGATGAGCACCACCACCTCACCCATGCCAACTATTGGGCATCAATTAATTAACCTGATTTCTGGAAAATAAATAATGACTTCTTGTGGAGAAGGTGGACCAGGAGTCCTATGGAGCTTCAAGGAACTAGATCATTTCTAAATTACACAAGACCTCAGACACCAGCAATGTCAGTACCAACAGGAGACCAAGGCAAAGGATGCCATTTGGGCTCTGACACAGAGAACTGCAGGAATTATGGCAGCTTCCACAATCAGCTCCTGCACTGAGATGTGGAAAGTACAGGAAACTACCATATTATATATTCCACTCATCATGGCTAGACAGAAATGTTAAGAGTCTCTCAGTCTCTGACAGGCTGTAACTGGCCAGATGGTACTAATTATTCTGGGTTCAAAGTCAGACCACATTTTAGAATCTATGGAGTACATCTGACACAGGAAAAATCTACAGCACACTTAAAGAGTTAGCAACAAAGAACACTGTGATCCGCTGAAGAAGTGACGTTCATTGGCCAGAATATGATGGTGTACAGACAGATAATGGGCAGGCTATGTTTTATTCACTGTTAAGAGTTGTCACTCTAGTAACAAAACATTTAAGTACAGCCATTCCTTTATTACATATAACCATCAAGAAAACAGCATACATTCAAAAAATAATAGTGCTCATTACCAACAGATAGTAATAATTCTGTGATACTTGATGGGAAAGGACTGCATTGCTATTTGAAGACAGCAGATCAACAAAATGCACTGTACTAAATGGTGATACTGGACCAGAAATAGGGGGATTCAAAATCAAAAGAGCAATATATCTTAACTACAAATAGCAAAGTCCTGGACTCATTGATGCTTTTGCAGAAGTATTAAAATATTAGAAGATAATAACTGAGATGCGTAGAAAGAATCTACAAAGCAGGAATCATTCCTTAAATTTGGTTGAGACTCACCTTTCGTACATTACTCAAAAAAGGAAAATGTCAAAACCTGCAATGATGATAGAATAAGTTTAATGAGCCATTTGCTAGCTTGCATAAAAATGGTACATGGCAGAATATATCAGAATAGTGAAGAAAGGGCAGTTGACGTGTCATTTAGAGTCATAGGGAGATTGGGAACCAGGGAAGGATTATTTTGTATTCATGTACTTCAGAAGAGATACCAATATATGAATATTAGTTTTACTATGAGAATGCATCTAACATAATTCAACTTGGCAGTCTGAAAGAATTATTGATAAATAAAAGTCTTCATATACAAGATGTTGGTATAATTGGCAACCTGTATTATCAGAAAAAAGCAGCAATGAAAGCTGAAGATCATATGATTGAAACTGTAGTGATACAAAGAAAAGTAGAAGAATGTGTTTTTGCTGCTTTTTTTAAAAAATTGTGATCTGAAAACAGCTTTAAAGAAGCACTTGTTGATTCAAATGACAGTACAGTATTTTCCCTCCAAAGTTTTGCAAAAGCCTCCAATATACCAATTACATAGTCTTACTTGCCCATGTGCAAATGTTAGTAAAGTCAATAGAGGAATGAACTCAGTCGAAAAATTAGTAAGAAACCCATGTTCATGAGAATCAATAATAAGTAGACCACGGAATGATTTGACTATCCAGAACAAAAGTGTAGAACACATTGGTAAACAGCAGTATCTTGAAATTTGGTTGAATGATACCCATTCATTGCATCAAAATACCCATGGCATGGAACAACTTTTTTAAACAAAAAAATAACATCCAAAAGGAATTTAAACTTGGCTATGAAAATGTGCACTATACTGTGCTATATATCTGTAATCCTACTGGATGGCATGTAATTGCGGATTTCAACACTAGCTACCATAAAAGATAAATGGATTTGAAAGTGGACATATTGCTGAACATTAGGAATTTCTTCGATTGACACGGTGACCAACGAAAAATGATTAAGGAAATAGATTGTTGCAGCTGATCATTCAACATAAAATACATATGGGAAAAGTGTAGGAAGGAAACCTCATTGGCAAAAACCCAAACCTGACAATTGACTGTGATGCAGGACAACACAATGTCACTGTTTAGAGCTGCGGCATTCAAATAAAAAATAAGAACATGAAAACAAAAAATATTAGTATTGTACGGGGCTTAAATCAAAGGGACTATAGTCTTAAAGATGGAAAAGGTTCTGGTTTATTCTAAGCTGCTTATACATACTTCTCTGCTCCTGTGACATGATGCCTATTACAAAACAATGCTGGCAGCTGCTCTTGTGCATTGCTTTGAGAAGAGCTTTCCAAACCATCTAAATAGGGAATAATTTGCTAGGAAATAGCTCTATAGGGAACGCAAGCTAAACATGACTCAACAAGATTCTATTGAGCTGCATTCAGATGAAACACAAAGAAAAAAACATGAGGCATAATATTCAGCACTGGCTAGATACCAACTGCAAATATATGACTATTTCTGAATGCTATTTTTAAAAAATCTCTCAACAAAGCAGAGATGACTGGAAGGCAAGCTGGATTTCAGAAATCCTTAATCTTGGTCTGTCTAATGATATGTAGGACCACAGACTTAATACTTTTGTTATCATTCTGATGTTTCCTGGTAGCATTCAGAGCTGCAGCATCAATTAAAGGCCCACTGGGAGAAGCTCGCGAAGTAAGGCACCCCCACCCTGTGACCACAAGTATCCTCTGCTAATTCAATGTATGAATTCCACTAAATTCATTCTATATATTTATCCAAATCAGCACAATGCTCTACACAGCACTGCTGCCTCCCTTTGTCAAAGTTCAGAAAAAGTGTATCTTTTATTATTTGCATCTCGGATGCTAAGATTTTCCAGCTATACTGTGGAGACAATGTCTAAAAATCTGAAGTTTTCAAGAAAGAAAGCAAAAACCCAACTATTTCAACTGCTGCAGCTTTAGCATCCACTGTCACAAGGCTCACAATAAAGTTGTGAAAGCTAGTGACCCTGAACAACATCAATGAGACTTAATGATTTCCATATGGCCACAGCCAAGCTGAACAGCATCAAGGGAGCCTGTAGTGCACACCTGGAGATTAAAGAAAGAAGTCAAATTCAAGACCAAACATATAACTCCTTGCCTTTCATGAGGGCAGCTGCTTTAGATTGCATGCATCTGGTACATCCAGCTGCAAGGCAGCCAAATAATTCTAGCATCCCTCAGGGATGCTTGCAGATAAGCAGAAACACCACAGGGCACTGTATTAAAAGTGGCATTATTCTGGTCCAAGGTACTCACATATGCCCAAAAGATGCACAATGTTCTCCTGAGACACATGGAAGGGCAAGTTTCCTCCAGAGGTGTTTGTGACTCTGAACTGATTGCAGAGAGGTACTAACAGAAACTGTTACATTTATGCCGAGGACAGACTGATGGATTCAGGAGACTTGGGTATGAATCCCTGCTTGTCATGGAAACTGACAGTAAGGGGGGGATAGTGACAAGACCTTCCCTTAAATACCTCACATACCTTGAAGATCCTGTTGGTGTTGCCCAAAGTCTGATATGACTTGACAGCACATAACACACATATTTATATCGAACAATTGCAATCATTGGTGTCAGTTCTTTAGGAACAGCTCCGTTACCAACTGCAAAGCTAACCCCGTGGTATGATCAGTCAAGGGAAAACCAAAACATGGGTGGGTTGTTCCTGCAAAGGTTAGCAGGAAGCTGAGGTGCACTTCCGCATCATCATAAATCTGCAACTTACTCTTTCACTGCCAATCAAAGCAGAGTTCCTGTTTGAATATATGCTCTTTCCTTCTCCTAACACAGCTTTTCCCAACATGGTGCCACACAGACATTTTGGATTCTGAAATTCCATCAGCCCCATTCAGCATGGCTAATGGCCAACAATGGTAGGGGTCATAGTGAAAACATATGGAGAGCATCTTGTCAGAGAACGCTGCCTACATCTTGCAGAAAACTTAAAATCAACTGGAGTGTTGCCTACCACTTCGTTAATGTACAGATCAAACAATACCCAAGGGATCCTAAGTCTCCAGGAGCCACACAATATCCGAATTCAGCACAATGCAATCAACAGGCTGCCTATTTTCCTTTATGTGCCTCCAGAATAAACTCATAAATCTCCATTGTATTACCTGCCAGTTATTCATAGTGTTTGTTGTGGGTTTTTTCGGGTTCTTTGGCCATGTTCTGAAGGTTGTTCTTCCTAACGTTTCACCAGTCTCTGTGGCTGGCATTTTCAGCGTGCTACTCCTGTCCTCTGAAGATGCCGGCCACTTAGACTGTCGAAACGTTAGGAAGAACAACCTTCAGAACACGGCCAAAGAACCCGAAAAACCCACAACCACCATTAGATCCCAGCCATGAAAGTCTTTGTGAATATATTCATAGTGTGCTTGCAGAAAATAGCTTTTTCCATCTACAGTTCACAACCCAGTGCCACTAGATGTATTATCTAAATTTGTGCATCTGTTTTTCTGTTTTGTTTCAAATTTAATCCCTTATACACGATACTGCGAGAGACAGTGCTCCATATCATTTGAAAATCACATGAAACAGTGCCCTACAGCAGCTATTCTCAGTGAGGTTCATATAGCTCCCTGGAGGACCCTGACACATTTGAAGATGGCCACAGACTGGAAACAATTCTTCACACATAACTTGCTAAGGTTTGTTATGTGACTTATGCAATCCTGATTTGCCCTATATTTCTTTCATATTGTGTTTATGGCCGAGACAAAAAAAAGATGGAGTATGATTGCTTTAGGGGTCACGTTCCAACTCGGGGCAGGTGCACAAGTTATGTGTGTGTTTTGGGGGTTCCGCAGACTCTCCACAATTCATTAGAAACACATGCATTAATTGCATATGAGCCAATGATTGATCCTTAGCTCCTCTAGCCAAGGCCGAGCTATGTGGGGCCCTGGGGCCAGTCAGATACACAACACAGAGAAAGATGAATCAGACTTAGCTGAAGACATCTTCCCAAGTGTAGGGAAAGTGCGTCCTAAGATATTCTGAATCTTCTGCTGAAGTACACAGATCCTGGCAACACCACCCCTCCTTACAAGCAAAATGCCAGTACCAACCAGATTAGAGAACCCCCGTGCAAAGAGCATGGAATGGAAATGCATGAATCACTAGGCTAGAGACTGGTAATGTCCATGTCAATTCATGCATGTGGACAACTGAGTGGAAATGGAGCAATGCCTACAAACCCACGTAAACCTCCCCCAAAAGATTCAGGTGTAAGTCTTTTATATCAACCCTGATAAACACAATGGGGGCAGGGGTGTCTTTGGATAATCCCAATGAACTGCATGGGCCATGCAATGACCAAAGCACAGGCACACATACATTTGCACCCCTTCCAGAAGTTCAGCTACAATCCTCCCAGTGGGGCAAGAGTGAGCTGAGGCAACAGGAAGAGGGCAAGCCAATGCAGGAGTGGGCACTGTGGAGTCCCAGGGTACCTCGCAAGCAGGGCGCACAGGGAGCAGAGAGGCATGTGATGCTGGCGGGAGGCGAGCAGTTGGGGCCCCGGGCCCTCACCCTTCTTGAACTCCTCAAGCAGCGCATCTAGGCGGGTGTCATTGAAGACACAGTGCAGAGGGCGGTGGTAGAACCGGGTGACCGTCTGCAGCGGGGTGCAGTCATCAGGATCCACGAAGGCCAAGTCCTTGACAAACAGCAAGTCAACAATGTTGTCTCGCTGGTCCCCTTCGTAGACTGGGATGCGCGTGTAGCCTGAGCGCAAGATCTCGGAGATGGTGGCAAAGTCCAGGATGGCGTCAGACCGCAACATAAAGCAGTCACTCAATGGGGTCAAAATATCTTCAACCACCTTGGTACGGAGCTCCAGGGCCCCTTGCACCATGGCCAGCTCCTGACTCACCAGGTCGCCATGGGGGTCTGCAGCGCGAAGGGTCTCCAACAGGCGCTCCCGGGTGGAGAAGGTGCTCAGCTCCTGGTGCAGGGCCCAGTCCAGCAGGAGGCTGAGCGGGTAGCAGATGGGGAAGGTGGCGGCCATGAGAAGGCGAGTCAGGAAGAGCGTGTGAGCTGCGATAGCCAGTCCGTGTCGGGAGCACACAGAGTAGGGCAAGACCTCGCCGCCCAAGAAGACGACGCCCGTGCAGAGCAGCACCGGCAGCCAGGGCACCCCTTGGCTTGCCTCGGGCAGCGGGCTGTGGCCGGCCTGCAGCGCGGCGCACAACCAGC